TATTGGAAAATGCTTGTAATTCCTCTGTAGCATCTGGTCCCCACTGGACCCTCATCATTTCCTTCACCTGCTCCCCCCACCGACCAAACTGTGCAGCTCTGCAACTGCATACTGGCCCATCCTCACCCTTCTGCCCCCAACCCTCACCTCCTTGTACCCCCAATATGTTTTTCCCAATTAAAAAAAAAATTTAAAAAAAAATAAAATAAATGGTTTTACAAAGTGCTTAAGGATATCTGTGACGAAAACATACTTTTATCAGTGGAGCTGCTGTTGCAATGGCAGCAGCAGTTGCTGCAGCCACGGTTGTAGCTGAATCAATCCCACTGGGTGAAGTTCTAGACTCCTGAATGACCTTGTCCTTTTCTGTGACTGCATCTTCTAAAAGCTGTACCTTTACTTTCTTAAAAACAGGCATGCTCTGAGCTCTGTAAACACAAAAAGAGTGAGTTACAACTAATTTTTTTAAATTTTTCTATTTTATATTGGTTTACTTACAAAGTTTGTATACATCATATTTCACACTATTCTTCATTCACATTGTGTTTCATATAATCATTCTCATTATGTTTCATAAAATCAATCCTCATTAGACTATGCCCATCATTACCTTGTATTTTTAGATCCCTGTCAGATCTTTCCCATTTTATTTAGCTCCTCCTTCCACCCACCAAATTGTGCAACCCTGTGATTTCACCCCTACCCAGCCTCACCCCTCTGCTCCCACCACTTCCCCGTCTTGGGTCCCCAAACATATTTTACTAGTTATTATTCTATTTTTACAATAATGGTCTTATGCAGTTTTTGTCCTTAAGAACATCAAATAATTTGAAGAAATTATTTCAAGTGGTACTCAACTGAAAGTAAATGTCATTTTTTAATACGCTTTTTAAAAAATAAAAATTTCATCTAGACTGTTTTCATGAAATCACCCCATCAGCATCATATTAAAGTTATTTACTTAGCAATAAGCATTAAGGCTCAGGTTAAAGTATATGAAACTGTAAAGAAATAATATATTTCTCTAAGGTCAAAGTTATTATTCAGATCATACAATTTACACAAATGAAAAGTACAGGAACAAAATTATAAAGATGAAAAAAATCAAGAAATACAAAAGCAAAATACAGAATAGGCTCTAATGCTCTAATGTTCCTATTTTTAATCTCAAAGCCAAACAACTCAAAAAGAATTTGTAAAACTTGTTATGTGCCATCAAGTCGCTTGCGACTCATAGCGACCCTATGTACAAGAGCTCTAAATGCTGTTCTATCCTGTGCCAACCTAGCCATCTCAAACGCACTTAATCCCACCGCTTCAGTCACAGAATCGATCCATCTCATCGAAGGTCTTACTCTCCTTCGCCACCCCTCTACTCTTCCAAACATGATGTCCCTCTCCAAGGACCAGTCCCTCCTTGCAACATGCCCAAACTATGTCAGACGAAGCTTCAGAATCCTTGACTCCAAGGAGCAGTCCGGCTTCACTTTCTCCAGGACAAATCTGTTTGTTCTCGAGCAGTCTATGGTACATTCAACTCTTCTCCAGCACCACAGCTCAAAGGCATCAATTATCTTTCTATCAACCCTATTCACTGTCCAACTCTCTGAACTATAAAAAGTATTAAAAGAAATCTTAATTTAGTTAGATAGTAATGAATTTAATTAACTAATTAATTAAATCTTTTTTCTAAATTCTAGCTATTCATAATAAATAAATGTCACCCAGTTAAAGAAAATGAGCACAAAAAACACAATATTAGGCAAGCTGGATTACAAAAAGACTTGTATATAGACACATATGTGAAGTAAAGCATTAATGAACTACTAAAGGGAAGGGCTAGTCTGTGTTAAACCTAAAATAATAAAAGGAACCTGACAAACTGAAGAGCCCAGAGGAAAACTAGTAAGGAAAATTTGTAGAACCGCATACTACTTCCACCTGTTAGACCTTCCCCTCTTGATCTCTGAAAAAGGCCATGAGCTCTTGAACTTACTTCTCTTTGATAATTTCCCATTTCTATTCAGAACATCATTCTTCTCTCAACCTCAAAATTTTAAAGTCAACCTTGACTTTATATGTGCTTACCTTCTCACACCCAAATGAGTTAACAAGTGTTGTCAACTATTTCATCACAATGGGAAAAATACATCATAGAATTATAAAACAGATAGAATATAAAGGTCATCCATTAGAGTTCTCTGGTTTTATAGATGAAGAAACTGAGGATCACAGAGGTAAGGGAATTTACTTGATCACAGAACCAAGTAGCAGAGTTTGGGTCAAATTCCCAGAGATTTTTGTATAAGAGATCTCTACTAGATTAGTATTTCTTCCTTATTTCTTCCCTGGTAGGCTATGGTCTTTGCAATTGTTATGTATCAGGGAGCTGGACAATGACTAAGAATGACAGAAGAAGAACCGATGTCTTTGAGTTGTGATGTTGAAGAAGAGTAATGAACAGAACAAAACAAGTCAGTCAGTCTTGGAGAGGGTGAAACCAAGTTTCTCCTCGGAAGCTAGGATTTTGAAGCTCCATCTCACTTTGGGCATGTGGCCAGCAGAGACGGTCCTTGGAGAAGGATATCATGTTCGGAATGGTGGAGGGACAGCACAAGAGAGAAAGACCTCGATAACTGGGACAATGGAGGTAGGTGTGTCAGAGTCAGTGAGACTGGCTCAGGAGGGCAGGCTTCAGAGCTATTGTACATAGGGTCGCTATGAGTCACAGGCAACTCAGTGGCATATAATAACAACAGTATAAAATATGATCACCTATTCCCAAAGGTCTCACTTGTAATTGCTTAAAAACAATCCATACATATTTCACCTTTCAAAAATCTAAAATTGTTCTTCATACACAAGTGATGATACTCATGAGGTAGATCACTCTTGGAGAACCACTTATCCATCAAATGTATGTATCATAATTAATTTCATTATTTCCTAATAGTAGAAATTTGTTACTAGGTTTTCTTTATATAAATAATTCTGGTAAACATCATTGTGCATAAATGATACCCTGAGTTTCTATTACTTTCTTGCAAGAGACACATAACAGAGTTATAGATTTATCATGGTACTGTTGTCAGATTTTATTTTTTATTCATTGGTATTTGAAGGTGAGTAGGAGCATTCAGAGTAGTCACAGGATTCTCTCACAATACCTAAATTATAAACTTGTTCCTTTCTCAGATTTGGGTAAGGAAATCTAACTTTGTCATTTACAACTTGTATACACTAGGAACGTTTAACCACTGCTATAAACAGTATTCTGAAGTAGTTAAGTGAGCAGGCTCTAAGTGTACACTGACTAAATCTGTCTAATGACTATTTGTGGGGGTTTTGTTGCTTTTTTAAATTTTTTATTAATTCTAATGAAAGTTCACAGACTTTGGATTTCCACTGATTCATTGTTGTACTTTTCTCCATGCCCACCCCTCCCCTCAAGTCTGCTCTTCTCTTTGAAAAGTAAAATTCTTTCATTTTTATACAATCCCCCCTCCACCCAAGCCCACTCCACTATGCAGTTTTTGTTCTAGACTCTTGTCATGACAGTAATAGCGAATCATATATCCCTTTTAAACAGTTCTCTCCCTCACCTGTTACAATGCAGTATACATCATTTACCCCATCTTTCTCAGTCTCCCCCCAACCCCTATGTCAGTTCCATTTTACAACAGTGGCACTATGCAGCATTTATCGTTTTGTGACTGAGATACTTCACACAGCATAGTGTCCTCCAGGGTCACACATTTTGTATAATATTTCATAAGTTCCATGTTTTTTCAATGCAGCACAGTACTCCATTATGTGAATATACCATAGCTTCTCTATCCATTTGTTTGTTGATGGGCATTTAGGTTGTTTCCAACACTTTGCTATTGTGAACAAAGCCAACAATAAGCATGAGTGTGCATATATCTGCTTGGGTGGTGGTTATGGTTTCTTTGGGGTATATTCTTAGTAGTGGAATTGCTGGGTGAAATGGTATTTCTATTTACAACTTTTTGAGAAAGTGCCATACAGCCTTCCACAGTGGTTGCACCATTTTACAGTCTCACCAACTGTGAATAAGGGTTCCAGTTTCTCCATAGCCTTGCCAGCATATTGTTTGCTGTTCATACTGGAGTGAAATGATATCTCATAGTGTTTTGATTTGCATCTCTCTTAGAGCTAGGGATTTTGAACATTTCTTCATGTGTTTGTTTGCCATCAGAATGTTTTCTTTGGTGAAGTGTCTGTTCATATCCTGTGCCCATTTTTAAATTGGTTTGTTTACCTTTATCTCGTTGTGGTGATGGCTATTTGTTATATGACTTTTTTTTTTTAATTGTGATTTTAATGAAAGTTTACAAGAAGGTTTTCATTCATTTACTATTTTCTAAACTTTAAAGAAATCAATCTTTGTGCCTCAGTTTCCTCATTATAAAATTGGGATTCTGTAAAAATAAAGATTGTGACAGAATCTATTTCAATCTTAGGAATAATAAATTACTCAGTATACATACAGTCCTTTAGAACAGTACCTCTTCTAAAATAGCTAACAATGTATATATTAGTTAAGCCCAGCACTACATGAGCTATGTTAGATATATTATCACACATAGTAAAAACATTTTTACTATATGCAGTGAATAACGAAGCTGACTAGAGAACTATAAAAGTAAATAAATGTCCATCTGTTTTCTGGAAATGAAACTTACTTTTGCTTTAAAATTGATCTTAGAGCATCTTTCTGTCCCATGGTATAATGAGAAATAAAGACGTCATCTGCTGCAAAATCAGGACAGAAAAACATACTTTAGAAAGCCAAAAATTGAAAAAAAAATTTAAAAAAGAAAGCTAAAAATTGATTAAATTTTAATAAGCTATTTAAGAAAAAATATTTTTAACCAAAAATAATGTTTAGGCACTTATTAATATGATTTAGCAACACCAAAAAGGGTATGGAAAAAATCAAGAAATTAATAATAGTAATAACCTCAGAATAAAAAATTTTATCAATAAAATCTATGGTCAAATTGAAGACACTTCCTTAAAATCTAAAGAAAAAAGTGCTGAAAGTAAAATAATACCCATTGCTTAAAAAAAAAAAACATATATATATATATATATATATATATATATATAATCATATTATGTAAAACTTGAAAGCAGCTTTCTAATCTATGATCTGATTAAAGGTAACTAAAAACTTGCATTCATGATTTATAAACGAGAACCAAGAAGTCAATAGTGGTGACATGGTTAGGCACTGAGCTACTAACTGAAAAGATGACTATCCAAATGTACCAAGAGGCTTTATAGGAGAAAGACTAAACAATCTGTTTTTGTAGAGATTTTTAACCCAGGAAACTCTCTGGAGCAGTTCAATTCAGTAACAGGGGTCATAACGTGTTGGAACAGACTCAATGGCAAAAAAAACCAACACGTAACTGTTATGTATAAAAATCTATAAAGTATGTTTGTAATACTAAAACTAGCTTTACGATTGTATATCTTTTTCTGAATTTTAGAGATTCTATCTATAGCTTAATTTGAAAGGAAAATTAATTAAAGATGAAAATAAGAAAAATGTTACATGCTGTGCTTTTAAGCACAACAAAAATCAGCAGTTTGAATGCTTCTAGGGAGAAAGACGAAAATGGCACAGGACAGAACAGGTTTCGGATCTGCTGTCCATAGGATCACAGTGAGTGGTCCTCAACTCGAAGACACCTAATGGAAACAAGAAGGAAGAAAAATAAACAGTATCCTCTCATAAAGATTTCATAGCCTTGCAAGCCTGGTGAAAACTATGAGTAGGGATAACTCAATGACTGTGGGTATTGGGTTTATGAATTTTGAAACCAATTCTACCAATCTACTTGAAGGAAAAATTTTAAAGTGAAAGCAAACTTAAGGTAGATTAATAAATGCCTAAAGATCAGTTCTTTTTACCTTTTTGTCTGTTGTTCTCTTCTTTTTTATACAAAGGCAACCCTTGTGCTGCAACATCTTTAGAAAAAGCCTTCATCACGTAAAAGAAAGACAGGAAAGGCTAGTATGTATGCATTTAATGAAAGCTTCTGATACAATTTATAGTCTCAAGAAATGGCATTCTTAGTTCACCAGTTCCAATTTTTAATGTATTATAATATGAAACTCTCATACTATTATACAGACTTCTTAAAACTGGTAGTACCTAAGTCAAAATTAGTGGTCAAAGCCTAAAATAAAGCTCTCATCATCAGAACATTGAGGCTTTTTTTCATGAACAACAAGGATTTCATATTACTATGTCTCAAAAAACAGTTCTGCTTTCATTTTCTTAGTGAGACTTTCAGCTTTATCAAGTAAAAAGGAAATTAAGAATGCATGCATTTATATCTCAAAAGGCATCCTAAAGAGTTTGAAGTATACATAATCAAACTTACTTTTTTTAAAAAATTGTGTTATTAGTTCTCCCTTTACCTAATAGTACCTAAAGTCTCTGGTCAAGAATATCTTTTCTTTTTATAGCAAGAATTTCTTTTAATTTCGTTTTCACAATTGTGAGTATCCTACTAATAAATGTTCTCAATTCTATGTAAGGCTTATTTTCTTTTTCCCCCAATGTCTTCACTATTCCAAAAACAACTTTACAATAGAAAACCTATCTTTTGGTAATTAAAGTCTGTATTAAAGCAAAGCCAGTTGCTAATTAAACATAATTTAAGAACACATTATTTCATAATACTGAAAATTATAACATCAACATAATTAAGAATCTTTTTGCTTACACTTTCTGATATAGGGAGATTTTCTAATGGAGGTTGCTGATAATTTCTAGAAGTTAAATCTGAAGAACCTACCAAAACAAAGGAACTGACTTTAGTAATGTTTAAAATAAAAATTTCACTTTTAAAAATGGTATAAAAACAATTTTTTCCAGAACTTATAAATTCCATATAACTAGAGGACTCAAAAAGGACGCCATTTTTGGATTTTAAAAAATTTAGTGTTAATAAAAAAGATACAAAGATTTTTAAAGTTGGTATTTTGGAAAATAAGGATAATAACTAATAAACAAATAACAAGTATAAAATGTTACAGCAATACACTGTGAATTTAAGAAAAGTTGTAAGTAGAATCATTTGTCAAAAATAAGTTGTTGTGTGCTGTCGAGTCTGAAACAACACAGAGTTGACCCTCCAGCTAGTTTTCAGAGGCTTTATAATACTTGGGAGGAGACTGCCCATCTCTCTCTCATGGAGGAGCTGGTGGATTAGAATCACTTGATTTAGGGCTGACAGCGCAACTTCTTACCACTAGGCCACAGATCAAGTAAAACAATTAACAGGCTATTCAGGCCACAGCCTCACTCCTAAAAACAAAACAAAACAAATCATACCATATTGTTGTGCTTAAAAACATATTCATTAATTTCATCCTAGGATGCTCTTCTGGTCCATAGAGAGCCCCATCGCTGGTCAAAAGACCAAGCCTCTCTGGCAGTTGGAAACTATCATATACTCCAGGAGAGAAAGATGAGCAATCTCCTCTCTTGCAATTTAAACCCTCTTAACACCAGCTGGAGCCTCAGTTCCAACTCAGCAATGAGTCAACATTAAACAAGGAACAAGTATGAACTACATACAATAGCTTTGACTTTTTTTTTTTTTTTTTTTCAAAAATTTGATCCTTACAATAATTCTATACCCTTCACTTGAGCTCAGGGCAACTTAAGGGACTTATAACATCGACCCCCAGGTAGTTTTTAATACAAAGCCAAATGGTACTGCATCACCTAAACAGAAGGTTGAGCATTTGGTAAAAGGGTAACTGGAGAAAATTAACCACACTGTACAAGTGTATCTAACACAGTTGTGTACAGTATTCAAAAAACACACAGAAAAAGCATAACAGGAAACTAAAATTTCATTCATTCAATAACCACTTTACAGACTGATTAATATATTCATTTTCCCAGGGAAAAGAGTAAGTTTTGAAACTGAACAAAGTAGAAATCTTCTATGTTTCAAAATTTAAGTATTAGGAAGGCTCTAAACTTTTAAATACCAAAAAACAATGTGAAAATAAGGACTTAATTATTTGCGAAAAAGGGAAATTTGTTGAGAACCTATATGCAATTACATACCAGGTAATGTTTCTTTCAAGCCAGTTTTAACAGGAAGCTCTTTATGTGCTGGCAAAGCATCAGGAACTCGGGGCAAATCCTCTTGAGGCAAAGCCATATTACCTCCTAAGTTTGGAGAAACGACCTCACGAAGTCTCCTCGTCGGTATTTGAACCTTTTTTTTCTTTCCTGGGCTAAATTCTGTGCCCTTCATATTATATGTATAAAGCTAGTCGTCTTCTGTGTAAGATTTCTGAATTTTTCACTGCTTTGAGAACTAAGGCGGAAAGGAGGGCAGGGTACAACATGAGAGGAGTATGATAAATCGAATCTCAAAAGTGATTCTGGAGCATGCAATCATCATAAATTTCAAACCAGAACATCCACAAACTGGACAGTTACATGTTTGTAATGAATACTTGAGACGACTAAAAGGTCCAGTTTACTTATTAATTCCAGTCTATTAATTCACTATGTAATGAGAGGCAAAAGAAGAGCCACAAGAGCAAAAACCACCCTAAAACACAGTGCACTCTCCAACTCAAGAGCTGACAGGCAGCACCAAGCAAATGTCGAGGATGGATTATTGTAAAGAACAGGTAGTCATCCAAGTAAAACAAAGACACAAACTAAAATCCACCCACATAAGAAGCTTAGCAACTTTCTTCAACAAGGCACATTCACAAACCTCCAGATGCAACCACCAAATACTTAAATTCACCCTTTCGTGTCTCGGGAAAGCTCCGTAACCACGAAGCCACCTGTCTATCCAAACAACAGCTTCAGTTGCCCGCGGATCAACACCCACTTTCCCTTTAATCCCGCCCTAGAGAGATAACACGCATGCGTATCAAGAAAAACGTCTACCACATCCAACCAAAAAACCGGTGTGCCCTGCGGTGCTCTTCCTTTCCTTTCCGGATGGAAACAAATTCCATGCGTGGAAGTCCTCAAGCAGGTTTGAATATGGTAGTGTTTGCTTGTTACTTTTTTTTTTTTTAAGGCAAAACATTGCCTCGTAAGACTTAAGCACTGAATGAAACCCGAGAGGCTTATTGAAGACATACAAATCTCTCGAGTAAACGGTAACACCATTCGTGTTTATTAGGGAATGTTTACAGTGTTGCTCCGGAAGACCGTTAGACCCGTAGGATTAAATAAATTTGTCTTTCAAAACGTTTCAACACATTCGGGCTGATATCGGAGAGGAGATCAAAAATCGAGCGCAGTACTTAAAGGGTGAAAAAAAAATAATAATTATCATTAGATTTTCTAATTCACTGGCAGTATCAGCTCTTTCCTTGAGATTGCCTGCTGTTGTACCGAATCGGCGACGAAGGGTCTCGGTGCTATTTGCCTTTCCCGCTCCCACGTGTTCTCTTGGGTAAAGCGGCCGCAGCGCTCTCCCTGACCTGGGCTCTTCTCCTATAGACTCCACTGGCAGTTGGACTGGCCCTGCAGCCCCCGGATCTCGTACAGGTGTCGAGTGCAAGAGTGAGTCTGTGCTTAAGTATGATCTCCTTTCTCTGCCTGTAGAATCCCGGGCGGGGGGCGGCAGGCTGCGTTCTGGACAAGTGGCAGGGTCTCGTGGAGGCCGCTACGTGTGCTGGGGGCTGCGGAGCGGGGTGACCCCGGAGTGGCTCGGGACTGGTGTGGAGACTGTGCCACAGTGGAGAGGATAGATCTTAAGGCTCCGAGCCACACGCAGGCTAGGTTTGGGAAATAAGGATCTTGTCCTAGGACACAGTTAAATCAGAAGGTAGCCACGCCGTGACCTTGGTCTGACAGGCTGACCCCCCCACCCTTGAACTGGAAAAAAAACCACACCTCTAGACAAATTTTCGAGGACTTGGCGGTTCAAATCTTACCCTTTTAAGTCTTACTGGAGCCTTTTAAAATAATGCAAAAAAAAAAAAAAATCGCCAAACTAGTCTGCTAACTTCTACGCTAGATGGCCAATTTTACATATTTTACTTCTCAGTTGCCTTTTTCCTTCCAAGACATCCCAAGGTTAAAGGGAACTTTGAGAGCCCAGCTATGGCAAGCCCTTTATTTTTTGTACCTTGGCGAGTTTTTGTGATAATCATTATTTCTTCAGTTACATTTCCTCATTACTGAATTCTTACACAGTATCTGGATTGGCTTGATTTTGGGGGTTACCCCCTACAAATTCGTGTATAAAATAAATGGATTACTGTCATTTTTGCAAGAGACGGTAGAGATGATTGAACGTCCTTAATTTCCCTGTGAAATAAAAAGTGACCTTTCCTCTTCAGTCTCCAGCCTCTCATAACAGGTGCTCACCGGTTAGATAGATAGACGCTTGATAAAAAAAACCTTTAATAAGTAACTTGTATTGTGCCATCCAGACAATTCTGACTCATAGTGACCATATAATAGCACATCTTTAATAACAGGTCAGTGTGTAAAACCCAGGTTGGGTCCCAGATTGATTCTTCTCTGTGCTTGAAGCCAGCCAGCCTTTCCATCTGAAAGCAGTATGCTATAATCTTTGAATTGTTTCCCCTCTCTCTGGTTAATGATGAAAGAACCCAGGTTGAAGAATGTCAGAAAACTGGCACTTCAAACCGACTAGCCACTCAACTTGAGAAAGATGAGGCAGTCTCCTATAAAGATTTACAAACCCAGTGGGCACATCTCTTCCCTCTCTGTGACAGAATCTATATGGGTTAGCAGAGGGTTTGCTGTTTTAGTTAATGATGAAAGGGTGGTGGTGCCTGATTAAAGCACTAAGTTACCAACCAAAATGAGGGAGGTTCAACACCACCACCACCCAGACACACTATTTGGAAGTCAGTTCCTATAAAGACTGAGAGCCTTGGAAACCTTCTGGGTAAACTGCCCTATGAGATTGTTATGAGTCATAATTAACTTGGTAGTGGGTTTGATTTTGCTTTGATGGATTTGGGTTACTATTAAGTCAAAACAACTTTCTAAACCTGCCGTAAATGTTCTAAAATGGATGGATGGGATGTGGAAGAGGTTTACTAACCGAATGAGTTTGTGAAGATTCAGATCTATGAAATTTCAACCTAAGATATTTATACTCCCTGGAATCCTACCCTTCTACTCCTCTATCCCTCAAATAAATACAAGATTTTTCTTGCATCTTATTTATTAGGATTTTTTTTGTTTCATTCGCTTGCTTTGTTAGTGCTTTTTGCTAAACTGTTTGCAATAAGTTTATTAAGACACTGTGCCCTTTAACCCTAATTTCTTCAGCTTACATCTCCTTCAGGACCTTCTCTCCCTGTAGTGTGCCATGCCACGGTGAGATCACCAGGCCAGAGATTAATGTGTTCAGATTTCCCAGTTATCTCAGAAATTTCTTTTGCATTCAATTGGTTTTCTGTGTATGACAGAGGATCCAGTCAATGTTCACACATTTTGATTGTCATGATTCTTAATCTAGAGCAGCTGTTGTGTACCATTGAGTCTGAGCTGACCCTCCAGTGGGTTTTCAGAAGCAGTAATTGCACAGGAGATTGCCCATCTTCTCCCATGGAGCAGCTGGAGGATTCAAATTATGTCTTCAGGGTTGCAGTGCAGATTCTTACCACTAAGTCCCCAGAGCTCGCTGTAACTAGCCCCATATTGCAGATTTTCTGGATATTTTTTTCATGAGCTGTCAGGTTAATTAAAAAAAAAAGTGGCAACATAGTGTTCTGTTCTTACTGTATCCCACCAGGAAGCAGTTACTGTTATGTGGTTTCTAAATGGTTTTTCAAAAGGCTCATCATCTGGTCCCGTACTTGCTGACATGTCAACTCAAAAGGGCTTAGTTTAAGGAGTGAGGAGGAACCTTGACTGCCTTTTGGGGAGCATTGTAAGTTTCATTTGGGATTTTGAATGTTTGTATTTTTCATACTGAGTTAAAACATTACCTGACTTTAAAAAAATTACTTGTGGAGATGCTTGAAACTATGGATAGAGCCTATTCTCCAATAACCTATCACTAATGTCTTTTATCATCTATTCATAATCCTTGTCTGGGTTACAGAATTACCAGATACCCCTTACAGTTGTAGAGAGTTGCACACAAAGGCCAGTGACTCTGGCAGTTGGAATCTATTAGCCACTGTATGTCAGAAACAGGCAGTCTCCTCCATTGCAATTTATAGTCTCAAACTCAATGGAGGATCAGCTACGAGTTGGTTCTGACTCTGTGACAATGAATTTGAGTAATCTTAACAAGGACCAAGAACAGTTATACTGCCATCAGAAGAATTAGTTACTCTTGAGTCCAGTTACAGCCGACTTAAAGAGATTTGACTACAGACCTAGTATAACTCTTCATATGATTTTGCTAAAGAGAGAAAAAGAAAAAAAAAAGGGCATCTCCCCATCATATCTTGGTTAATTTAATGTTACATTTTCAATATTCAGAAATTTCTAGCGACCAAAGGCATGTAGTTTGAATCCATCAGCTTCTCTGAGGAAAAAAGATGAGCTGTATCCTTTCATGCGATAAAGTGCCTCTGAAAACCTTCTGGAGTGTTAGCTGTGAGTTGGTTCTGGCTTGGTGATATGCAGTAACAACAATAATTTTTTTAGGACCCTTGCCAATTCTTTTTGCTCTTTTCTAGATATTAGATACCCTTTTTGAGAAGGAGGTTAAAATAATTTAAGGAAGGTTGTGCTTAACAAGAGTAAAACTTAAAAAATAAACATGAGAAAAATATAAGCAGCAGAAAGAAATATATTAATAGTGTTTGAAGTTGATAGATTAAAGAGATTAAAACATGTATTTAGCTATTGGAGAATAACATTTTCGATAAATAATAGTAATTATAATAGCTTTTTAGAAACATTTTATGCGTCTTGATTAGAATTGCCAAAGAGGCTCCAAGTCTGGGTCAGCAACATAACTCCCTACTAGCTAATAACATCAGAGTCCCCTCCTTTTTTTTTTTTTTTTTTAATCATGGTAGGGTGGGAGGGAATGATGGATTTTGAAGTCTGAACCCCAGTTACTAGTCTGTAAGTGGCTTTAATATAAATGTATGACTCTTTCTGAACCATTCCTACTAAGAGTATTTGGAGAATCAGAAGAGAAGTGTAATGTATACTTAAGACTTAGAAATAGAAAAGATTGCATGATAGTAAGTTTTTTTTAATGGTAAAACTTTTTAACTAAAGGATAAATTTAAGAAAGTAATTTCACAGTGAAAAGGAAGACACTTAAACAAAGTGGCAAACAGATTTGGATCTCCTCATATAAGTTGTCTGTTTAAAGGAGCCTCGGTGTCATCTTGTAACCCCATTGTTTTACAGGTAAGAACACGCCTCACTGGAGACATTCAAGGAAAGGTTGGACAACCAACCACTGTTGCAGAACAGAAAAGAAACTCATGCATCAGAAAAGGTTTGAGCTGATGACTGCTATGATCACCCTCTAATAGTCCCAGGTTTAAGGAAATATTTTGTCAAATTTCAGTTTCACTATCAAGTAGTTTGTATGGTTGTTGAACTTTGTTATTCAACATAATTTATGATTTCAGTAACTACAGCTAGTATACAGATGGACTTAGACTATCTCAAACAAGCAAGTAATTAGTTGATACTAATTCACCCTATTATTTTCTAGGGTCAAATATTATAATTATCTATGCCATAATCATAATATTGGCAACAGTAGAGAAGAGCTTTGGAAATTTAAGCTGATTTTTTTATTTTAACTCTATGTCCAAGAAAGGTGTTGTGTAGCTTAGTGATTGCACTGACAACCGAAAGGCACGCAATTCAAAACCACCATCTGATCCAACAGAAAAATATGGGCAGTTTACTGCTTCTAAAAACCTGCTGGACAGTCAGGTATGATTCAGTTCCAACTGAATGTTACTTAACAACAATAAGAAAACTGCTGTTAGCTTTTAACTGTTTGAGAAAATAAAGTTTGTAAATAAAGAACTATAAGGAAATAAATAATAATGTTAACATATTACTCTTTAGTAGCTAATAGTACTTTTCTAATATAGAGACCCTATTTTTTTTCTAAAAGACTACCAACAATATGAGAATTCATTTTAATACCACATGAAGGCACTCTTGATCTTGTCAGGGTATCCAAATCCCAATCGTGATTTGTCAGTGGTGGGGTCAACACAGTGTTGCTAATCTCTGAAACTTTAACAGATCTTTAAAGATTTCATACTTTTTTTTTTTTCCCATGGTTATTGGGTTTATTAGAGAGCTCTGGACTAATGGTAAGAAACTGTTCAAATCCACCAGCTGCTCCACAGGAAAAGGATGGGTAGTCTCCTCCTGTGTGGTTTACTGCCTGTGAAAACTTAGAGAGGCAGCTGTGGGTCTGTTCTGACTCCAGGGTGCACAATAATAACATGGGGTTTATTGGGGAAGTTAACAGACTATACTTAAGATTGGCAGCAGGACACTGTCCAGGCAGCCTCTCAGGCCCTTTAACCTTCAGTCGCACTGCTTTGGTCAGTGTTAGAAAGTTCCCTTAATCCTGCCAGTTATGGCACCTTCCTCCTGTCCCCCAGCAAGCTTGGGTGAAGGTTTTTGTCTCTGGTTTGTGGGACAGCTCTCTGCTGTTGGTCTCTGATTCTCTGCTAAGGCTGCTGTTGCTCTTCTGTAGCTCCCAGTTTGGTAGCACAGGAATCTCAGGCATTGAAGGATGCACTGCTTCCTCTTGCTTGTTGGTATTAAGATTCCCAATTTCTGCCTGTGAATCCACTCCATTTAATGGCGAGATTAGCCAAGGCCTTTTAAATAGACTAACACATTCTGTGTATTTTTTTTTTTTAATTTTATTAGTTTTAATGAACATTTACAGAGATTTTGGGTTTTCATTCATTCACTGTTGCACTGTTTTCTCCACCCTCCTCCCCAGTTCGTTCTTCTTTCCCCCCCATGTCTGTTTTAATTGTCCAATTGCCACAGTGCTTGTCAAAGCCAGTTCTGATTAATCTCCTTTGTCAGTGTGTCCCTTGCCATTCCCTATCTCTCCTCCCTGAGAGAGACTTCACCCTGATTCATAAGGGAAAGGGGATGGCGTATTCTCTTAGCTACTTCCTGCTGAAAAGGGATGCTGTGGGTTTCAGGGTGAAGGTCTTCTCTCACTACTCTAAAGGACCCCCTTGGCAGTAGGAAACACATAGACTATTATGGAGATCGACCCTGGAATTTAGATGCACTGCCATCAACCGTGCCCAGCCGTACATGCTCATATCCTTGAAGATGTATCATGGAAGTGTTGCAGCCTTCAGACTGCAAAGCAGCAAGATGTTCTTCCTTTATCTTGAGTTTCAGCTCATTTTTCCTTTGCATCTCAGCGATTTCCTCTGGAGTGGCTAGTACAGGTGATGATTCTGCTACAGGTGGTGATTTACCAGAATTGCTGAGTCAACCCAAGGGCAGATCAGTAGTGATGCAGCTCCCGCCGGCTGTAGTGCATCTTTTTACCACTAAGCATAGTAGAGTTCCTCCAGCAATCGGGTGATGAGACTATCCACGTTCAGCTCCCCGCCCGCCATCTTCTCGGCACTCGGAAGTAGAGGCTTTTGAGGGATAAGCAGTCTAGCACCCCAAAGGCCCTGCGTCATTCTGTGTATTTTTTTTACACAAACACACACAAAAATACACTTGATGGCACATAACAACAACAACACATTCTATTTGAATGATCCCACTTCTCCTTGTGGCATAGTCAAAGACAGTGGCTAGGAAAGCCACTTTGAATAATAAATCCTTACCACCACAGACTACTTCATGACTTTTCTAGCCATTAACCTTCATATTTGAAAAGTTAACTTTCCCCTTAACTGGACTACAGAGAGTCCTTTTCTTCCTCTCCCAGAATGGCTACTGAGAGAATCCAATAACAGGAAACAGCAACTGTGTTTTTTCTCTCTGTGAAACTACCCTACCCCCCATTTTCTCAGAAATAGTTATCTGAGATCCCAGCCCTCCTCCTAATCTTGAAGCATCTGTATACATCCCTTTCCCCAAATCCCTTGTAAGAAAGTATAAAATCCCCCTCTAACTCTTAGTGGGGACTGGTCTTCTGCTTGAGAGCCAGCCTGGCAGTTTCTTCTCAATAAACTATCTTTCTTGGCCTGCACTGAGTTTTGTCCTTCCTCAATGATCTTACAGTCATTATATTAATAACTAGATTCATGAAAGTGTGCAAGCCAGCTACTTCATGCCTTAATCATTGTAGATAGCCAAGTTCTAATTGTCCATCCCTATCAAACCAAAACTCTGAGGAAACAAGCACATTTTTCTAGAGAATCTTCTGTTCCAATTGGAACTTAAGCATCTGCATCAGAAAGATTTCATACTGTCTGATGTCAGATTGAAAGTAAGTGTGAAAAAAAAATCCTTTAAGGAAAAATAAAAAAAAAGTAAGTGAATTTTGTCTTAAAAAAATATAAGGATAGGAAAAGAGAACTGGAGCTTGACACCATGGTTAGAAGTCATGCAAAATTTCCAAGATGTTGTGGAAATCAGATAGGGGTGGGGTTTTTTGCTGAGTACACTGTATTAGTTTAGCAATTCAGAAAGTTTAGGGTCTACTGGATAACCTTTTGTACTTTGAACTAGAAGCCAGCGATAAACTAAATTCCTCAGTTTGTGTTTTATTGTCCTTGTATTTCTTAAGTTTCCACAATATCTTGGTTTCATTTAACACCTGTTTCTGTAAAACTTGTCCTACCAGTTCTTTGATCTTTTTAGGTTGTTTTTTGGTTTGGAAGCTTGAATAATTCTAGTTAAAAGCTTTTGTTAACATCATCGACCATGCTACGTCTTGTTCTCTGGCAGGAAATAGAGAACTATACAATCTTGTATTTTCCCTGTTTTCTTTATTATCTCCATGTAATTGTTTAGAAATATAAAGATATTTGTTCCATTTACTTAGTTCTTCCATTGGTAACAGTTTACAAAAACTATATAATACAATTAAAAACCCAGACAATAATAGTGATACAAGTCAAGATATGGAATATTTCTGTCCTATCATGTCTTATTTCCTTTCTACCTCTACTCTATCCTTAGCCCCTGGAAACCATAAAATGTGTTCTCTTTTTTTTTTTTTTTAAATCCTATACCATTGCTAGTGGGAATGCCAAAAAAACCTACCATATGACTCAGCAATTTCATTCCAAGGTATACACTGAAAAGACTACAGAGACTCAGAAAGAGAAACTATGTACCATTGTTCATTGCACCACTACTTACACTAGCCAGAAGATGGAAACAATATAAATGTCCATCAGCAACTGAATGGATAAACCAAATGAAACAATGTACCATTGTTCACTACTTACAGTAGCCAAAAGGTAAAAACAATATAAATGTCCATCAGCAATTGAATGGGTAAACCAAATGAAGTACATACATAAAGTGGAATAAACTACTTTGACAATAAAGAGCAAGTAAGGCTTAATTCATGCTAAAAATGGAGAAAGCTTGAGAGTAAAATGCCAATCACAAAAGGATGAGTATTATTTAAATAAAACAAGACAAATGTGCACGGACCAAAGTTTATTAGTAAATAGCAAGGGTAGAAAGAGGAGGAATGTGGACTTAACAATAATATGAAAACTGCATTGATTAAGAGTAGGCTTGATCATTGTAATTGTAGTCAATAAGTTGTATACCTGTAAAGTTGAACAGGCAAAAGTTTTATGATAGATATATTTACAACAAAGAAAAAGAGTGCTATTGAAGCTGCTTATGTACAACCAAATATGATGGGATTTTGTTCCTTGGTGGGAGGTTTTATAGACAGCAGATCTGAACCCTGCCCTATCCTGCACCTTTCAACCATCCCTGATATACTCACACCCGTTGCTACAGTCACTGTGTTGATGTATCTTGTCAAGGATTGTTCTTTCTTTTGCTAACCTTCCACCTTTGGTGTTATGGGTTAATGTTTAAGATGGCTTTCCTAGGCATTGACTTTGACTTTGCTATGTGGATAGGCAGGAATATGTGAATAAGGTGTGTTGTGTCCATCCACAAGGGTATTGGCTAGTTCGCCACTAAATTGAGCAGATTCAGCCACCCATTTGGGAATCTTCTCACCAGCAAAGAAGGAGGTATGCAGTATGTGTTCTTCAGGATCAAAAATTCCTTTGCCGCTCAGATTGCGGCCTTCAGAAGCAGCAGCCAAAGCAGAGAACCAGAAGCCCAATATGAGACAGAGCTGACTTTGGGACTGCTACCCTATGGAACCAGAGTTAAGAGCCTTTGTCCAAGTTTGTTATATGACTGGAGGAGAGAGTTTTAATTGATAGGACTTTATTATAACACTGGTCTAAAATTGTGAAGCTCAAGGCCTCAGCCTTGAATAGAGTGTGTTATATCCAACCTCAAGGGGATTGGCTTTTGTCTCCACTA